GGCCACCACAGATGGGGTCTCCCCCCAGCCTGAACCCTCTGATCCAAACTCCCAGAATATTAAGGAAGAGGATATAGTGGAAGATGGCTGGACCATTGTCCGGAGAAAGAAATGAGTGGGGCTGGAATTGGTTTGGGCCCTTGTTTGCTAGGTATTCGAAACTTATTTGTAGGGCTTTTATGGAGGGCTATAGACCTCTGGATTGGTTATACTATTCCCACCCTCTTTCTTGTTCCTCTGTGCARTTCCCTACAGGGGAAGAAAAGCCCTAAGGTTCTTGGTTTTGGGGGGTCTAAGGCACTTGGTCCATCATACCCCCTTGGGCTTTAAGTTATCTGAGTGATGAGGCCAGTTTTCCCAGCATAGTTCCTCTTGGGTGCAGTCAGTGAAGAGGAGGGATGAGTGAATGTGGGCATGGATGGAGGAGGAGCTAGACTCTGGTGGATACTAGACAGGAGGATTATGGAGAGGATGAGCCTGGGGACCAGTACTCAGTGCCAAGGGTTGGCTGGGTCAGGAATGGTGAGATGAACATGCAGATGAAAGAAAAGTTGAAGATGTAAGCAAAAGTAGCTGTGGTGCCTCTCCCTTACCCCACCCCACCCCACCACACCCAACACATAGCAACTCTTATTCCTGCTCAGAGCTTAAAACCTCCCAGGAATGCTCCCTTCCTCCAGCCCAGCCTCTCACCCCAGGTTCCCTTAGGAATTCTAAGATCTTGGCAAGGTGGTGAGCTTGGAAGAAGAGTTGGGCTATTTTCTGTCTCCTCCAACCTCTTTCCTCATTCTTTATCCCATCCCATTTAAGTTCAGGGATGAGGCTTATGACCCTAATAAATAATACCCTCTTGTTTAATCTGTGGCTTGACCTGTGAGTAGCCTTGGAATCAGCCTTTTGGGAGTTGAACTTGAGAGTTCGGCAAGGGAGTGGTTTCTGGGCCCACCCTAGTAGCCTGGTACTTTGTATAAACAAACTATATGGATGAATGGAACACAGCAGTGCTCTGAAAGTTACTGTAAGCCTGAAATAAACTGTATTTTTCTTAAAAAAAAAAAAAAACAAAGAGTATCCATTGTCCTCCCCCCTGTTCCCTTGTCCTGCCCGGTGGCCCTGCCATGGGTCTGGACGATAAAATACTGGGTAGCCTTGGAGCTGGGTAGAAGCTATAAGCCATGGGAGAGGCAGGAGGGGTCTAGTCACCACTCCACGTGGAGTTGTACACGTGAAGACACTGGCTGAGGAGGCAGGAGTGGTTTGGGGTTCCAGGGTCAGTGGCAGAGCTGGCACTTTGAATCCAGAACTCCTGCCTCTGATGCTTTTGAGGGAAATTGGGTGGAGGCAGGATCTGTGGGGTATTGTTTTTTTTTGGGGGGGGGGACAGCCTAATTCAGGTGGGTATAGCAACAGCTCCTACCCTCCCTGGAGATGGGGATTTAAAAAAATGAATATCACTGTAGGAATACTTTTTAAAAGCCCACGTTTTGTGAAAAGATGAATTAAAAAACCCAAGACCCAGCATTCGGGATTGAAAGTGCCCGTGATGGGAGTTCAAGTATTGACTGAGCTGGGAAGGAGGGGGCTGGAACCCCCCAACTGGACATGGGCAGCTAGTGTGTGGGATGGGGGCTCCCAGTTCCCCCCAAACCCTCTAGGTCTTGTCTCGGGTCTGGGGGACTTCGGGGGGTTCAGCAGTGGCTCCTGAAGCTGCCACTGGTGGCTCTTCCATCTCCCTGTCCTCGGACAGTGTGGGCCCTGGGCAGAACGTGTCCCCACGGCCTGCCCGGCCAAGCACAGCCATCCAGCGTCGCTGGAGCTCCTCTGTTTCAGGGCTGAAGTACCAGCTTAGGTGGCTCTGGGTGATCTTGAAGACGTGTCTTCTGTCGGGCCTCTCCCCTGCCTCAGGAGGCCCCACCTCGAAGCCAATGAGGGGCAGGCTGCGCTGGGCTTTCACATCCTGTGGAGGAGGGATAGGGCTGGGATCACCTGGGGGCTGGACATTCCCCTTTGCCCCAACTTATAACGGGTTTTGCATGTGCTCCCCTTTTTCTTCCCCTGCTCAAGAAGATTTCCTTGGTTAGGGGCCATAGTGCGTGCCTATAACCCAGTAATTCAGAAGACGGAGTCAGGAAGATCAAAAGTCTGAGGCCAATCTCAGCAACTTAGTGAGATCCTATCTCAAATATTACATAAGGACTAGGGATCTCAGTGGTAAAGCATCCCTGAGATCAATCCCTAGTACCAAAAAGAAAAAAAAAATTACTTGGCCTTATTGTAACCAATAGGAAAATGTTTGAACTGGGGCTAGAATGCAGGCTGCTTCAAATACCCGTTTCCTCCCGCACCCCAAAATAGCTGGGCTTGTCTCTTTGGCACAGTGTTTTCAGGACTTTGTCTAGGTCATTGCCCCTATTTACATGCTTTTCCCCACTCCAAATTGAACCTAGTAGTGCCCTGTCTTCACTCCTGATTCTTCCAGAAAGCCAGCTTCCACCCCAAATTCACCTGTTTTCCCTACATGCCTTGGCCCACAACACTCCTTGTCTCTAGTCAGTCTTTGTCACACAAGGGTGGGAATTCTAACTTTCCCTTAGGTAGTCACCCTATCCCCCCAAGGCCAAGGAAAGGTCAAAGGACTGGAGAGAAGGTGGCTAGCCTGATTTTGCCAGGTGGCTGAAAAGACCCAAAGGAATAGGATGCACACCTGAGGGGCTCCGTAGATGTACAGCACCAAGGGTTCATTCTCAGGGACCACGAACCATGCCTTGTGCCATCCTTTCCCACCCTTCTCCATGTAGTGCAGGAAGCTGCAGATGACACTGTTCTCTGCTGCCACGGAGGCCTGTTTCTATATCAGAGACATGGGGTGGTGTCAATGTTGATAGAAGGCCTAGCCTGACTCCTCTTGGCTTAAAGAGCCCCTTAGAGTATAGATTCCTATTCCCATGTCTTAGAGGAAAACAGTGAAGCTCAGGTGGCAGAATTGATTTGCCTGGTGCCACCCAGAAAGTCAGGTAGAGTCAGAATTCAAAGCTAGGCTTATCTGTCTGGCTCAGGCCAGGGCTGCTGCTTCTAGAACCAGGGAAGAGGGGGGTATAGTTCTCAGTAGGGGCATCTAATAAATGTCTGTCAGGCACTCTTACTTCTGTCAGTCTATTTATTCAAGTCATTCACACATTCATACCTCACCTTTTTTCATCTTTCGTCACATTCATTTGTACACTCAAGAGGCAATCTAGCATTATGGTTAAGGGGTGGGTAGGTGGGTGGTAAATGTAGTCTGGCTCAGAATTCCAGCTCTAGATGAAAATGGTCTTGGAAGGAGAGCACAGAGGGCTGTTATAAACATCAAATGAATTAATACATGTAAATATTTAGGATAGTTCCTAGCACAGAGTAAGCACTCTAGGTGTTAAATAATAGTTTGTAAAAACAAACCCTTGGGCTGGGGTTGTGGCTAAGCAGCAGAGTGCTTGCCTAGCACATGCAAGGCCCTGGGTTTGATCCTCAGCACCACATAAAAATAAATAAATAAAGATATTGTGTCCAACTAAAAAATAAATATTAAAAAAACCCCATGTATACATGTACATGTGCCTAGAAAGATGGGAAGGATTGATGTTAGCAGTTGTGTCTAGGTAAAAGGAATATAGTATTTTGTTGCTTTTTGTTTATGCTGTCTTATTTAGCCTACTTTGTAATGAGAAAAGGCAGTTTGTTAATTGAAAAAAATCTTAGGCATGCATGGTGGTACGTGCCTATAGTGACAGGTACTTGAGAGACTGAGGCAGCTTTTCCAAGTTCAAGGCCAACCTGGGGAACATAGCCAGACCCTGTCTCAAAAACAATATAAGCCAGGCGCAGTGGTGCATGCCTATAATCCCAGCAGCTCAGGAGGCTGAGACAGGAGAATCGCAAGTTCAAAGTCAGCCTCAGCAATGGCGAGGTGCTAAGCAACTCAGACCCTGTCTCTAAATAAAATACAAAATAGGGCTGGAGATGTGGCTCTGTAGGCTAGTGCCCCTGAGTTTAATCCCTGGTACCAATCAAACAAACAAAAAGCAACACAAAACTCTAGCTTTGTCACTCACTGGCTATGTAATGGGCAAATAATCTCTCTGGGGCTCAGTTTCCTTGTTTGAAAACTAGGGATATTAATAGCATGAGGTAGGTTAGTTACTGTGAGGATTAAATGTGTAAAGCATTTCGAAATAATTACTGTGTTTCATTCACTCTTGCACTCATTTTATTCACTCCAAGCCTGGATCACTTGATCAACAGACGCACATCACACCCTAGTATTTTAGAGATTCCCAGGCTTCCTCAATCATACTAGCTAGGTGGCTGATGCCCACTTGTGGGATATTTGGTTAGGGGCCTGGCTCTTACCTCTAGGATGGATCTCCGGCGCTGAGGTGTATGCTGGCTGCAGGCTGGACTGCTCCCAGGCACCCCATGCAAGGCCACGTAGCAGTCAGTGCACACACGGTTGGAGCGGTTGTTGTCATAGATAAGGCGGGCCCGGAACTCGGAGCACTTCCCACAAACCACCTGGGGTGGCAAGTGGGCAAGAGCAGCCTGATTCCAGTGGGCCTTCCCCTTCAATGTATCAACTCCCACAGCAGACTTGCAGCCTCCCCCGACTTGGAGGGTGCCCACTTATAAGTGAGTCTTTGGGCTGTCAGCCCTAACCCTCCTGAGCTCCGCCCCCGCCTCCCAACACTCACATGCCCGCAGGCCTTGCAGTGGTGCCTGCGTTTGGTGATGGAATTGAAGGGCTCCTGACAGCGCATGCACATGGTGACTTCCTTTTCCCGGATGGGCGTAGGTGCCCGCTTCCCAAGATCCACGTTCTAGGGGGAGGGCCAGTTCCCAGGTCAGAGACAGTTCTTCCTCTGCCCAGTCCAACCAGCCCTTGTTCCTGCCCCAAGGCTTAGATCATCACAGCGGGGTTGGGGGGGGGGGCGGGCAGCAGACAGTCAGAAGCCCTGCCTTTGAGTCTGGCTCTGCTCCTATCTCACTGTGTGTCTTTTCCTTTGGGGGCCCTAGTTTCCCCACTGATATTTCTGTGGCCCTACCAACAGAAGACTGCACATTGACTCCAGAAGGGGAGTGGATCATTGCAAGGGAAGGTGGGAATTTGGAGGCCTGGATAGGGTCCCAGTATAGGAGGAGAGGTTAGGGACTCTTACTGGAGAGTTGGGGGGTGTGTCTTCATCTTCCCTATTTGTTGAGTTCAACAGTTTGAAGGTCTCCAGCGTCTGCTCATGCTTCAGGAGGGTGGAGTTGATGGCCTGGTGAGGGAGGATCAAAAAATGAGAGATCAGATTGCCCTACAAGCCACCCATTTCCATCCTCACCTCTCCTTCCTATGCTATCCTGGAGTCAGAAAACTTGAGTTCTGTCCCTGCTAGGCATATGACCTTGAGCAAATTCCTCCCAATCCAAGTCTCAGTGTTATAATTATAAAATGAGGGAGGGGAGCAATAATTGAAAAACCAGGGGCCAGCTTTTCTGGCCCCTGTCTGGGCATAAGGTTTTATAGGGCTTGACTCACCAGGATCACACCCTCAAAGAAGACAGTTTTCTAACAGAAGAATTTGTAAGATTCTGTTTAACCTCTGGACCTCAGTTTGCTTATCTATAATATGGGAATGCTAAAATTCGTTGGAAGGCAAGTGTCCAAGGCCATAGTGTTCAGATGTGTTTTGGGGAAGAGGCCACCAACCCCTATGACACCTGTTAATACTTTCCCAGCCCCCACCACAAAGTCTTCTTGGATGTTACCTGGACCCAGTCTTTCTTCTCCTCCTCTGTCCTTGGGGGAAAAAAGATGTTGGGTTAGGCAGGTCAACAAAAAGCAATTGGAACAAAAAAAAAAAGCAACTGGAGAGTTGGGAATATAGCTCAGTGGAAGAATGCTTGCCTAGCAGGCATACATGAGACTCTGGGTTTGATCCCCAGCACTGTTGGGGGAAAGGCAACAACAATGACAACAACAACAACAAAAGCAACTGGTGTGGCAA